ATTGGGAGTTGTCAATTTTACAATTGTTGGAGTCGTTAGAATCACTGCTAATATATTCAATTGAGAACTCAGACTCGCCATTGATTAATCAAAACCCTAGATTTCATTAATTCAATTTGCTATTTTATCTTGAATGTAAGGAATTCGTAGTTTTCTCAACTTTCTTGATTTTTGCTTTATTGAAAATTGTGGACTCCACTAATTTACTGAAAGTTGCTAGTTTTAGACAGAGGTGGTGTTGTTGTAGTTGATATGGTTGTTCAATTTGGGTGTGTTGTATGTGATTCAGTATGTGAATTTCTACGTATGCGTAAAAGGCAATGGCGGTTGTATGTATTTATGTTTATTCTATATAGGTATACGTATTGTTTTGGCTGGTGGTACCGACATTGGTGTAGACGTTGGGTGGTGGTGATGGTGGCTGTGACAATTTTCAGGAGTGGAGGCGAGTGGGATTTGTGAAGTAGATAACATAGCCATTCTATTTTTTTTTTCCTTTTATTTTCTGTACTCTCTATACTTATTTTATATTGAAATTGTAAATTTACTACTTCACCATTTTTACATTTTGTGAAATTTTTTTATTCTGGTCAACGAATTTAAGAGGTTTGGGACCTCTAGTTGCACATGACGGTTAATGTAAAAATTATGAACAATCAAAAGGTGTTGAATTGTGGGTGCAATTCTTCCTTATTCGATTGATAAAGACGTCATTTGAGAATTTTACTTTTTTCTCGAGTTTCCAATATATTTTCAACAAAAACGCATTTTTCAAATTAGCAAGTTTATCATGTTAAAAAAGAAAGGAAAAGAAAGAAGGTTCAATAAGGCCAAGCATGCCCACTATTCAGTTTGTAAAAGTTCTGAAGTTCTGGTTCTATACTTAAGTTTGTTTGAGTCCCTTTTTTTTTGGATAAAATGAATTTTGAAATAGTGATTTTTAAAGGAATATGTGGTTAAAAAGTAATAAAAATTTTGGATTTATATGTAAAATTATTAAATTTAGAGTGTGTGTTGATTAGTTTTATGAAACATGGAAAATGTCATTTTTCCACTCAAATTCCTTCTTTGAAATGTTTGATTGACAATTTTTTTCATGAAAAATATTTTCTAACTTTTGCTCATGTAACCATATATTCCACGAAAACAAAAAAAATATTTTCTTTAAGGAGGTATGATTTTTATTTTTCAAGTAATTCACTTTCTTTTTCTCCCTCTTATTTATCCACTCTCTCTAATTTAACCACCAATAAAAAATGATCAAATATAATATTTTCTTAGTTGAAAACAAAAACAATTAAAGACATTCAATTATTAAGTTCCACACAAATAAGATCTAGGGATATCAATAAGTCTAGTCGAAACTCGAGCTCGACTCGAGTAAAAATGGTTGGTTTTTTTTTTTTTTTGGCTCGAGCCTAGCCGAGCAAAATTTCGGCCAAAAAGTCTAGTCTCTACTCGAGCTTTTGAGCTTTCAGCTCGTTCGAGCCTTCTCAATCTTTTTAACAATTAATGTATTTTGAGTTAAAATTATATACGAATAAAATAATTCATATACAATTTTTCTTGAAACAAATAAATTTAAAAATTACATATTTTTTTAAATTAATCAATTTAAAAGTTTACAATATCCTATGCTAGGATTTGTTGCAACTCTTCAGCCATTATACCATCAACATCTTGAATACATAATTTCGTACATTCTCAATCCCTCAATCATATTAAAACCTCCAATATATCTTCTTTTAGTTTTGATCATTTGTCTGATAAAACTCAACAACCTAAATTAAAAGCAATTTCTAATGGTAGCATAGGCACTAGAGGTATTAGTAGATAGCGTGCAATTTTTAATACAATTGGATATTGTCTTCGTTCCACTTCCACCATGAAGAAGACTAAATTTTCATAATTCTTTTGGTTGTAACACACTACGAACATTCATGCACCCATACCTAGCTAATTGAGAAGAAATTCAAGATTTATACTACTGACATATATCGTTCTAGATATTGATGAACTCGAGCTAAATGAAGAAACACTTGTATTATTATCTAAATAATTTTGTATATCATCTGAACTTGTTGAAATATTTTTAGAAAACAATTTTGGGAAGTAGAACTGCATTGATCTCATTTTTCATTATAATAGTTCTATATTTTGAATAACAGAGATTCAATATGCACATGTGATAATTTCACATTCATGAAATTTGAAATCCATTTTATAATAACTTTTATGCCAGATAAATTAAGTCGATGGTCCATCACCAAAACTAAAAGAAATAAAGAGGGCAACTATTTCCAATATTTACTAAATTTTAACTCTATAGAGTAGATTACATCAACAAAAAGTGGCAAATTTTTATATTTATGAAATGATTGAAAAATGTAGAAAAGTATTGTAAAACAAATGAAGATGTATGTTAATAAATACCGCTACATTTTTTTATGGCATCGAAAAAAGGTCTTAAAGAATTTTTCTCACAAAATGCAATAGACAATTCCTAATCTTCCAAATAATGTTCGGGGTTCATATGTATACCTAGCATTATAATATGGTGAATAACTTTATTATAATTTTCACACGAATGTAACATAAAATATGTAGAGTTGCATCTATATGTTACATCAGTGGTAAAATGATTTCTCTTGTAAGTCATACTCTATACATAACTTGTTAAATGTTTGCTTTCTGGCAGGCAATATAATAATAAAATTTGTTGCTTGTCTAATTTTATTGAAAAGATATCTTATATGTTCTAATCCACTTGTTATAATCAAATTGATAATGTGACATACAGTCATTGATGATAAAATAAACTTCCAAATACAAGATTAAGATCATTAATAATTTTTTCAATAACACCTTTGTTCACACCAACATTGTCAAAAATAGAACTTCAAATCATTTCTTGTATACCATATTCTCGTATAGTAGCTTTTAAAACCATGTATATATTAGTGGTATTATGAAGATATTTTATACATCTGGATGCAATAATCATTTTTATGTAAAAGTCACAGGTGATCAATGTAATGAGTCGCAGTGACAATATAACATTTCTATTGCCACAGATCTACAAACCAGAGGTAAATATTAAAAGTTTGTAGACCTTCAATAGCATCTTATTTTATTTTAATATAGTGTTTGAATGGAGAGTATTTATATGATAAGAAGTATACCTAGGTTGAAGATACTACACGAGTTGGATAAAGTGGATTGAGTCTATCATCGTAAGCGGTATCTCTGCTGCAATCACATATGCAACCGTTTCTTTACTAAATTTTTTCATAAAACGTGGAAGAAGTAGATCCAGAACCGCCAAACACTAATTTGATCTATTTCAGGTCGAGGCTGACTGGTTTTACTTTGCAACTCCTAAATAATGTGCCTATTCAAATGCATTGTGTTTGAATTGGCTTCCAAGTAAGTTCTTTTGTCACGGTAATTGTAACATGTTTTTCAAATATTGACTCCATTTTGAACACCAACTTTTTTTGTGTCATATGTTGCCAAAAATTCGAGAATTCCTTTTTCGACCTTTTAGTCTTGAGTACTTCCTTTTTAATATCCTTCAAATCAATTGGAATATAATGAAATGTATTGTAGTCGAATGTACTTGAACTCCCTAATTAATCTCAACACTATTAGAATTCATTTATGTCTATTATAGCAAAAGATACTAAATATTAGAGTAAAAGAAACTGAATATTAGAGAAAAAAATTTGAAGATTGAAGTTGAAACTATAATACTACAAGTTAAAACTGATTGACGTAAATTGACATGAAACTCAAAATTTTACCTCATATTTAATATCAAGAAAAAATACATCACTTACAACCAAACTTGAATTTGAAATTTTAAATTTGAATACACAAAACTGCTTGTTATTGCTATCTTAAAAGGTAGCCTTAAAGCATGAGGCAACTATTTTTTTCACGTAATATATATAAATTTTTTAAAACTTTGCAAGCAGCTGATTTTTATTTATTTATTTAACACGGGCTGGCTCAAGCTCGAATAGATGCCCTAAAATGAGCCTCAGCTCAATTCTTTTGAGCCATGAGCTTGGCCGGTTTGTACTTTTTCCTAGGCCGAGCCACAAGCCCCCAGAGCCAACGAGCCAAATTGATACCCCTAAATGGATCTTATGGTAGTTGATTTTCTTGTACACATTATCTATTTGTAACTATGATTCACTTGTATTAACTAAACATAACTTCATTTTAAGAACACAATAATTCAATAGTTTGGAAAGAACAGAATTCCAAAAGGAACAAAAATTCACAAAATTGATAAACATTAAAAAGTGAGAACATTAAAACAAAATCAGCTTTTTGCAACGTTCGAAAAACGTTGCTAAAAACTCTTTGCAACATTCGGCCCTATGTTGCGAATCTTGATGTTGCTGTAGAGAGAAAGGATACAATGACGTTTTGCGAGTGTTGTAAAAACAGTATTTCGTAACGCTCACAAAACATTGCAAAACTTCTTTTTTGCAATATTTCTAAAGTGTTGTAAAAACAGTGTTTTGCAACGTTTTGAAAAATGATGTTTGCAACGTTTTTAAAATGTTGCAAAATACTGTTTTCTCAACAATTTAAAAATGCTGCTGAAAGTGACGACCAATTTTTTCACAACATTTTATAAGTTTTGTTATTTACCTTTTCTTGCAACATTTCTTGAACGTTGCCTTCAACCTATTTGCAACATTTTTTCAAACATTGTCATTTCTCTAATTAATTAGCAACATTTCTTTAACTTATTTTTAATTAATTCATCTGCTTTTATATTAACCAATATATTTTTAAAAAATTTAAAAATTGTATAGTAAAATATGCAAATTAATTTATCTGCTTTTATATTAAGCAATATATCTTTTTGATAGCGCATGAAAATGAGATTAATCATGTCCTGTTTAAAACCAATCCAAGCTCTTTGGAAATATGACAAACATTTTAAACAAATCCTAATGACCACACATGCACTTTATCCAAAAGAACCTTGAAGACACAAATATTGAAGCATCAAGTCAGCAAAGTAAGCTTCACATAATCTACATTAAGCCAAAACTACCCCATTGCCCAAATAAATGCGACCGCCAACATAACCAGCAAGAAAGATGTAACAGCTATACATACAGTGAAGGTTGTGACAATTGCTCATCTCCTGGTTCACACAATATAAAAAATATTGACCTATACAAAAGCAAGCAAGCTTCTAAAGATGTTACATCTAGCAGACCTACCTATATGTCACATATCTTACAGCCCTTCAATCTTACCGTTCAAAAGTTTTAGACATATCCTATATACAGCATTCCAAAAATTGCTAAAATGATGAGGAGCAAAACAAGAGTTGCAAGCTGAGCGCCAGCGCCAACAGCGACTGAAAGTAGAGACAGGTTTACGTGAGGCCAAAACACATCACCCCATGGACATGTTTCTGTAACAACAGCCTTAGCTGAATAAGACTTCCCTATTCCAGGTGGACCATACAAAAGAAAAGCCCTCCATCGGCGCCTCTTGCCTACAAACATGTGAAATAAGAAATCATATCATAAATTAAAACTGGGATATATAAATGAATTTATCCTATGTTTTCTTCTCCAAAACCATGGTAAATAAAAGATGAGCTGATAAATTGGCACAAACAAGATTGAGATATTTATGATTTTCCCATCTTTCCTTTTCTTTTATCTTCTTTTTATGGGTAGGGGACTGGCCAGGAAAATCATCCACTACACTAAACTATCTGCATGATGTTAGGAGAAATTCACTGCAGGGTGCTTAAAAGAGTAGGTTTGCTAAAATTCTAGTTATAAAAATTTGAGCGATGTAATTGGAAATCCAATTCTTTATTATGAAATGTGTTTCAATCTTCATTGAAATAAACCCAGTTTCTCCTAAAAAGAATTTCCTCCCCACTCAGTAAGTTTTTTCCCCTTCTTTTGAGTATTTTCTATTTTCTATACACCTACTAAAACTTTTTTCAGACACTTTACTCACCCAGATGAAGACAGATATCCTACAAACACTAGAAGAACTAGTTTTGACTATGCAACCACAGTGAAACAAAGTTTCTTCAAAAGGTTTTCTTGTCTAAATACACTTGCACCACAAGCTGAGAAATCCATCTCAGTTCCCCAGGCTCAAACTAATCAGTTGTGCTTTACTTTTAATCATCTAAATATAGGAAACCCTTTGGTTTCTCATCCAGAGGGAATTTAGGCAGCCATGAAACATTATAGAACTTGATATGGCATTTTTTCAGTAGTGCTTAGGGAATGGTATGGACCAGCAATCACAGGTAAGATTTAAAACTCTTATCGAACCACCAAGGTACTAACTTGAACAAATCAGTATGCACCCACTAGTTTGGGCTTTAAGGGGCAGTGGGCAAACGGAAGAGAGCCTCTCCTATCTGGTGTGCCAAAAATCATCTAGAGAAGGAGTTTGTGCTACATAACTGCACTTATACATATCTTTTCCCCAAATCGCATCTCACCCATGGACTTAATGTCCTGGGTAATATAGCAATCTAATTGGATTTCACTAACAAATCATACTAGTGTCCCACCTAAGCGATAGAACTATAGGAAGCAGCCTCTGGCTGAGTTTTAAATCTATAAATCATCTAGGACTAGCTAAAAGAAATGAGTGTTGATGTCTCTCCCATATCCTTCCACCTTAGCAAAGCTCAATGGATCTCAACCGCAAGATGAAAATCTTGCTTGCAACTAAACTATTCACAAATTCTCCTCTGCAGTCTGAAGCAACAGTTGTGGTGATAGAAAAGAGGAGCATTAGATGTCTAAGAAATATTAAGTGCCTATCGACACCGAGGTAATTCTTTTTATCATTCTCAATACTGTAGAAATACAAGACCAGAAATAAGATCATAGAGAAGGCTGAATCAAGAGTACTTTACTGCTGTATCCTTCATAAGCAAAAATAAGATAACTGTCATGAAGAATGCAATATATCTTACAAGAATTGAAGATCCCATAATTTTCTATCATTCGCATGGGATGAAAATCCATTACAAATTGAAGATCCACTATTTTTAAATTGAGAACTAGAATTGATTTCAAAAATGGAAATAGATTCATACATATATGTAATTAGTCCAGAAAATATACCTTCATCAAATAAGTATAATACTGCTCTTCAGCCAAATAACAGTACTTCCCATGGCTTCACCAAGAGTTCAAAGTTCAAGTGTAGGTCTGTATAAGGTCAAACTACTCATACACACTCCCTCAACCCAAAACTTCCAACAGTCTCGTCCAAGTGGCAAGTGATGCACCTTTGCACTAGGGTCTGTTGTTGCAATCTTCCCTTCCACTACAATTTCTTCCTCTTCAAACATATACCACTGCAATAGTTGACACCTTACATTTTCCTTAGATGCAATACTTCCTTAGACACCACTTCCTTGGTGTGACTAGAAATGCAAAGTAAAAAAGTGAACATGTATCAAATTGGTATGCTATAATCTGAATTTATATTGAATAAACATTTACTAATGTAGGAGACAAAAACCTGAGGAGTGAAAGCATGTGAACTCCTATCCTCCATATTCTGTAAAATGATACAAAAATTATAAAAGTAAATCTATGTGTAATTGACCATATTAAGCACTATTACCATCCACAAATATGTAATGGTAAAATATTATAACCTGTTGAGATAGCTTTAGAAGTGCTTCAACATTTTTCTTCTAACGCTCCCACCCTTTATGACTGAGTTTGTAATTCACTTTCAAGTTCTTTAACTCTCACGTTACTTTCAATTTGTCCACTCACTTTCGACGGTGCAACTCCAAATCAAAGTCCTCTAACTCTCCCATTACGTTCAGGACCTAGACTCGAGCAACAGCATCCTCGCGGATGGAGTCTTCGCTGGTGTATCAGAAATTGATTGGACACACTCTTCGATCATTTTCTATACTCATGGAACCCAAATTTTATATTAATAAGTGGTACGTATACAAAATCAAACTATCATATGTCGAACATTGACGTAATATACATACTATAGTTTCGGCAATTGCTTCATTTATCAATTTTCCATCTTTTCTGAGATGTTCATGAGTCCATACTCTAGTTTCCAATCCTTTTTATCTCTGGATTCCTCTTTATCTGCAATAAAAATATAGTAATTACATATACTAGAATGGGCCAATTCAAACAAGAAGATTACATATGTTTGTAATTTTACCATTTCATAAGCAATGCGTGAATAGCCTTTTTGACCCATAGTGTGGAGAAGCTTCTAAGATGTTCTCATGTTCCTAAACTTGGAACTTTTTTCCTCTTAAAAAAACTATAAAACAACAATAACTATTTAAAAGTTGAAGCTTCATACGGCAAGAATACTTACAAAAATATCGGCAGAAAGCGTGTCCTAGACAAATTTTTCCCATACTTCTTTAGATTTAACATTCTTTGGTCTAAAAAGGGCCATAATGCGAGCTCTCTTCATAGATAATTCGACTTGACTTATGATTTGTTTTCTTAACCTTGATTTGAATGTCCTCTAATACTTTCCCATACATTGCATTGTTACTTTTTTATGACAATCACTCACGTTGAATCTATGTTGTATTTATATATATATAAAATAACTTTCCATCTTAAAAGAATGTAGCATAATAATCTGCAAAAGTGAAGTTAAGAAATATACCTGTATAAAATTCCAAAGTTCTATTTTTTTTCTTTCCATCAACTGAATGCCAATCTTTAAAAACAACCGGCACATGTTCTTGTACTATGGCTCCAATTATGCTAGCAAGTTTATCTGAGTTACGACCAACTACCTGCCCATATTCATTGAATTCGAGATCAATCTTCTAATAACTACTTTCAGGAATCATTTTCACTTAGGTTGGATCCCATTTCTTTTTTCGGAGCTTCTATATTTACATTTATTGACTGCGTGTTTTGCTCATCATTAATTGGGAAAGATATAGAATTTTCTGGTTCACTCGACAGTAGTAGTCTCTTATTGGTCCCTCGAATTGCCACAGCAATTGCATCTACCCGTCCTTTAGAATTCTTGGAAACTCGTTTAGTGGACTTTAAAAATGCAACATGAAAACAAAAGTGTAACGTAAAGTCTCATTTTTGAAACTTAACAACTATGTTATGTATTATAAGAAAACACAATTACCTCAGATTTTGTACAATATGTTTCGACTGTCAAATGATTCGAAAGATGACCTAGAGAGAGTATAAAAATTTGTAACGTCATAATAATTAATGGTTAGATCTTAACATCTATCAAAATATTAGGCATGTCGCATGTTAAAATAATGCTGAAAAAACGAAATACATAAGCTAATTACAAAACTACTCTACATATCACATAATAAGCTTTCAGCATCTGCCTTTGCATAATTCTTATCTCATCAAGGTCGTCTAGATTTTGTCGTGATATATCTAGTGAAATAGTTGCCTCATAAGCAGTATTTGCTTCCATGTCTATTAAATGAAAGTCTCTTGGTGGTGCTTGCAAAGCAATATACCAACTAAGTATTTCATTCTCCATTGAATAAAAGATTTGTTTCACCTGTGTTGCCAAGATGAAATGATCATTTTCAAATTGTCTAAGTCCCTCGTTAAGGTTTACTCTGATCCATCTTCCATTTTTATTCCATTCACAATATTTGCCCAACCACACTTGCATATTGGAACATGAAACGTGTTATAATCAAGAACTATAACATCACGTAAAACTCCATAGTAAAGAACTTTCCCAACCATATGTGCATTATCTATTGCATTGGATCTACAAATAGTTGTCGTTTCAACTAAAATGCCACTGTTTTGGCGTGATTTTTCTGTATCTTTAGTGTGAAATCGATGACCATTTATGATAAAACCTAAATACGACATGGATTGACATCTCGGGCCACGTGCGAGCCACATCAAATTGTGCGAAACATTGTCCGTCAATGACTTGTCTTTAATTTGTTTGTATTTTTAAAATGTTAGAAATAAAATAAGTAATAGAACAGCTAGACTGTAACGCCCCGACCCCTAGTGGATCGGAACGCTACTTACTTTACTTAGCTTAACCGGTGGTTTAGTAACAAGTGAATACGTTTTAGCGGAAGCTTACATCTTCGGATAATAATTTAAATAACAATACTTCAAACAAAAACACTGAATCATTTTTCAAAACAACAAAATGTAATTTATTTAAAGAAAACATAACTTGTTCTCGCATTCTGTGTTATTCAAAACTTTAAAAAAATAGCATTGGAAAATATTTCATAAAAATAAATCCAAATCACTTATTCACCGGATTTCTATGGGCTCGTTGCATCACTCTCCATCTTCTCCTCCATCCATGCCCGAAGTAGAATTCCTTCAATCTGTAGAGATGGGATTAAACCCGTGAGTTGAAAAACTCAATAGGTGTCATAGGTGCATTCGTGATCAAGCTATACATTTAAAAACATTAACTTTATAACTTTTCATACATGCCGTACCCAGAGGCACCATTTGACATCTAGGGGTATGCCGTACCCGAGGGCACCATTTGACATACGAACATTTCTTCAACATAAAGGGGTATGCCGCACCGGAGTACCATTTGACATACAACCATTAACATAGAGGGCTATGCCGTACCGAAGTACCATTTGACATACAAACATTAACATGAGTCGAAACTTATAACTTAACACGATTAGACACATTGCACTTCTACCTACCTTGATTGATGCTTTTGAAATTTTGAAAACTTGGATTGAAACTTCGATGAAACTTGCACGTTGAAAGAAATACACTCCTTGGATATTTGAAAACCGTTGAGAATTGATGCTTGAAAACACTTCTTAAACTTCTAGGAAAAATAGCTTTCCTCCCTCTCTTTCTCTCTTGGAAACTCTTTCTTTATTATGTAAAAACTCTTGCTTTTGGTATGAGAAAAATGAGTGAAATGAGATCTCTATTTATAAGTAAATATCCCATAACTTAAAGCAAATGAAGGGTCAAATTTCATTTAAGAGAGAAAACATGGGTGCCATTTAAGTTTGAGGTTAAATGCTTTAATTTAGTGGGGGTTTTATTACAAAAAACGTGAGTGGCCCTTTGAGAAAATAATTGATGAAAATAAATATTTAGATTTTAAAGAAAAACGAGAATTTTCATTTCATGCAGTTTCGGTCGATCGGTTGTAGTCCGGTTGACACTGCACAACCTTCAATATTTCTATCATAACTTCTTCTTCCGATATCCGATTGAGGTAATTCAAAGTGCGTTGGAAAGCTAACTCAAAGAGTTACAACTTTTATTTAGATATCATTTTCCAAATCGAATGTTTCCTAAGTCAAAAATGGGTCTCAAATGAGATTAAAAATCTGAAGTATACTTTAGTCATCCAATATTCATGTCTTAGTGTCACTAAGGTATCTAGAATTATTTGGGGTTCTACATCCCCCATACCTTAATTAAAATTTAGTCCTCGAAATTTACCTTCTGATTGAGCGAATAGTGTTAGATACTTGTCTTTGGCTTCTTTTTCTTTTTCCCAAGTGGCCTCTTCTACGTCGTGATGATTCCACTGTATCTTAACCAGCTGAATCTCTTTATTCCTTAGTTTATGCACTTTTCGATCCAATATCTTGATCGGTAGTTCCTCGTACGACAAATCTTTCTGTACCTCCAAGATTTGATAACTCACTACATGATTAGGATCATGTACATACTTCTTTATCATCGATATATGGAACACATTGTGCACTGTCGATAATTCAGGTGGCAAAGCTAGTCGGTAAGCCACATTTCCGACTCTATCAAGTATCTCGAAAGGTCCGATATACCGGGGTCGTAGCTTGCTTTTTTTTCCAAATCTAAGTACACCTTTCATCAGTGCTACTTTCAGAAACACTTTATCCCCAACTTGGAATTCTAAATCCTTCCTCCTTGTATTTGCATAACTCTTTTGTCGATCTTGTGTTGCCTTTATTCTTGTACGAATCTTATCGATTACCTCGACCCTCCTTTCAACCATTTCTGGTCCCAAAACTCTCCTCTCCGATTTCATCCCAATGAACATGGGATCTACATCTTCTACCATAGAGAGATTCGCATGGTGTCATTCCAATAGTTGCTTGAAAACTGTTATTATAAGCGAACTCCACTAGAGGTAAGTATGACTCCCAATTACCTCCTAGATCCAAAACACATGTTCTCAGCATGTCTTCCAAAGTTTGGATGGTCCT